TCGATGGCAGAATTGGCTCCCTGGCCAAAGTTGGGCGTCATCTGGTTGCACACTGAGTAAGCCAAACGATCTCACTTCAATCTTCCTAGCGACGTACCTTGTGAACGCTATCTCCAATCAAAACCATCCTATCGTGGTGCCATGTCTCGAATACTCCCTCCTCCAGCGCTGTCATCGAGGACACCTCTCTGTTCTTCCACAAGTCCCCCACGCAGATGTTTTTCCAGAACCGCACGTGTTTGACTTGGTCGAAGAGCTGTACAGCATCTTCGTCTGAGAATCGCGGGACATCAGGATAGACGTACTTCCTATCCAACTTCTGGATCACGAACCAGAACACCCGACCATGTCTGCCGTGGATTGTTAGAATGGATAAATGGTCGAAAATACCGTTGATCTGTTCGCTTATCTCGAGCCCTGGGATGGCTGATGAAATTCCGAAAACGCAGACATATTCAACAGTCATGCCTGCTTGTATTAGTCTCATTGCATCCAGCACAAAGGACATGAGACTTTGTAGAAACATACTTCTTCTTTCACGTGTCGAAACTGATGCAGGCCGATTCTCCTCCGCTATCTTCCAAATTTCACTTCTCACTCGACTATGTACTCCATCAGCACCAACCACGAGATCCGCCTTATATTCTGTCCCATCAGCCACAGTAACAGCAGTTCCATGATCCGACTGTCGCACGCCAACTACCCTTTTCCGAGTGAGAACGTTCTGCTTCTTCCTCAGCCCCTCATACGCAATCTGCAGGAACTTCTGCCGGTCCAAGAATGCAACCGGGTATCCGAACCTAGAAACCTTAGTCACAACACCTTTTATCTCCTTCTGTCCGCATGATAATCTAGAGACTGTTGACATACCTATCGCCAAGGACCTTAGGATAGACGTTACTAAAGCAGAACCCATCTGGATAGCTGATATTCGCCTGATGCAACGGCTCAATCACACGCTCAATCTCCCCAAATAGGCCCAGTTGCTCGAGGATCCGTCCGCCATTTGGCATGATACCTATCGAGGCACCAACTTGCGGGGCAACATCTTCTCCTTTTTCGAGTATGAGGTACTCGATATTTGCGCGTTCGAGACAGTGCGCAAGGGTGAGGCCCGCGACAGAACCGCCCACAATAAGGACGCGAAAGGGGGCTTGCTGGGTATTGGCCATGCTTGCGAATCACGCCAGATACAAAGCCTAATTGAAGATAAGTCCTGCGTATGGTATATATATTGTGTTTATTTGGTGGACTAGAATTATATCGAGCCTGAGGCAGATGGATTTTAAACTGTACGGCAAGCCAAGTGTTTGCTATTCTCACTGCTGGAGCGAATGGACCTCAAATGACATCCAGCACTGCCATAGTGGCATAACTGCGTAGTCAAGCTACTTCGGGCTTATGGAAGCCAGCCCCGTGGTACATGCGCTTGACCAGTAGTTGCTGTGTCACAAGCGTGGCTGTTCATCATGCCATCGTCTACTTGCAATCAAAGGTGGCAAAACAGTAGTATGCCTTACTTCTATTTCTACCCGAGGACAGCAATATATGTGAAGACAGTGTATTCACTGCGTTATTCTATCGTTGGGTGATGGTCTTTGTCGGCCCAAACATAACTTACTATTACATGACAAGCAGTAACTCCGTTCTCATGAGAGCACCACAAAGAGTGGTACAACACCGTGAACTTTCTCCGCCATTCCGTCAGGATAGATCGCTGTGTGTTACACACTAAACCATCTCCATACTGTTCTTGGCTACCTCTCCTTGTGCTTGATTCCACGCTGGGATCTTCCTTCTTGTCGCTTGACGAAATAGAATAACGCTCCATACAGAATTTCAAACAGAAAGAACATGGCCACGGACCATAACACAAGCGGGCAGTTCAACCAGGAAAAAGCCTCCCACCAGCGAATATATCGAACAAGGGCAAATCCGATGGCTGATGTTGACCCAAAGAACCTGGAGATCCTAGTGATTACTTAGCACAGCAAACAGCCTGAGCAGATCAGACCAACGCTTACCATAGCGTCCATGACGCCCCTCGTGTGTTTCCCCGACTCAACAATTGAAACACATTACCTATGCTGATAAAGAGCTGGCATGCAATTGCCCCCCACGTATAGGCTTGTGCGGGACCAACCTGGGCAGTAAGAGCCAAGTGACCGCTCAGACAACAAAGTGTCGTCGCTGCGAAGACAAGGGGCATATGGTCCCTCACCATTGCAGAGTGGTGCCATTCATTTGGGGCATTCTTGATTCCCGCGTAAATAACCACAAGGTCGAGAGAAACTCCCATGAGAAAGGCAACCCGCTCGACAAATCCTTTGGCAGGATACATTGCGCAGAATATGATTTCCCAGGCAAAATTGATGCAAAGGCCCCCGATGGTCATGCAGTATGTTTGGTCCTTGAACGATGTGTAAATCATCTCCACATAGTGAGCAACCCAGCCAACAGCCATTCCGATGACGAAGATATCGGCGAGCCATTTTAGCTCGTTATATCCTGCTGGAGCAGTAGAATGGTCGAACCCATCCATTGAAGCGATACGAAGACACGATTCAATGCTGGTAGCGGTTTTGTCGCTGTCAGGATCTGGGTCATTTGCGTTTTACATGACCTGAGCGTGCTTATATAGTGGGATGACTTGCGGTCACCCAGTGCTACGGCGCCCTGGTCCTGACGGTATGCCATGAAGATCTGTCTTATCCCATGAGTGGACTGATGTCCGCATCAGGTAGGACCACCAGGAGTCTCGGTAATCATGTGTCACCGGTGTGCTATTCTCAAGCCGCTCAAAGACCTGCAAGTGAGCCAGGGGAGTGCACCAGGCTCCAAAAGCTGTATCTCCTGTCGTGCCGCTAGAGGCATGTCGCCATACCCAACTGTCAGCTTCTCTCAAGGGCGAGTCACGCAACAACCATTCTGGTCGGCTCGACCGCACTGAAAAGGAAACGGTGTAACTTGTGCGAAGCAACAGCTTGCCCCAAGGGGAACCCTGAGCCCTTAACGATGAGTGTACGGCTGGAATATCCTATCCATAGCATACATATATAGACAGGACAGCGTCCCTTTGCGAGCTCATCGGGGTACCGCGCTGTCATCCGTTAACCTTCTCATCCTTGCACTTCGTCCCACTCAGGAAGGACCGAATCATGGCGGCACTGCCGGACGTTGCCTCCATTCCCATCCCTCTGGTAGCAACCCTAGGCATTGCCCCTCTAATTTTCTATTTCGTCCTGGATAGAATTGGTCCCTTGTGGCCAAATTCCAAAGCTTTCCTGATTGGCAAGAAGAAACCAGAGACTGTGACATCGTTCGAGTGCCCATATGCCTACATCCGTCAGATCTATGGGAAGTATCACTGGGAGCCATTCGTACAGAAGCTGTCCCCGAGGCTCAAGAATGAGGATCCTGACAAATATAAGATGGTTCTGGAGATAATGGATGCTATCCACCTGTGTCTGATGCTAGTTGATGATGTACGTATACCTTGAATCTATATAAATACAATCTAACATTAAGCAGATAACTGACAATAGCGACTATCGAAAAGGCAAGCCAGCAGCCCACCGAATATATGGCCCTTCAGAGACAGCAAATCGCGCCTACTACCGAGTCACCCAGATTCTCAACAAGACCGTGCAAGAGTTCCCCAAGCTGGCCAAGTTTCTGCTACAAAATCTGGAAGAAATTCTCGAAGGCCAAGACCTGTCACTAATCTGGCGACGGGATGGACTGGGTAGCCTTTCGACTGTTCCTGAGGAGCGAGTTGCAGCCTATCGCAAGATGGCGTCATTGAAAACAGGGGCGTTATTCCGGCTGCTGGGACAATTGGTGATGGAGGACCTATCGATGGACGGGACGATGACTACTCTTGCGTAAGCCTCGTTTGATTTTTTACAAATCTACCATGTCTAGCAGGAGCCAAAAGCTGATCCTGAGATAGGTGGTGCTCGCAGCTGCAGAATGACTGCAAGAATGTCTACTCATCCGAATATGCCAAGGCCAAAGGGGCGCTTGCCGAAGACCTGCGAAATCGAGAGCTCTCGTTTCCAATCATTCTCGCGCTGGAAGCTCCCGAAGGGCATTGGGTCGCCAGTGCTTTGGAGACCAGCTCACCGCGCAATATTCGCAAGGCGCTTGCTGTGATCCAGAGTGAGAGAGTGCGAAATGCTTGTTTCAAGGAGCTCAAGTCGGCGAGTGCTTCAGTCCAGGACTGGTTGGCTATCTGGGGACGGAACGAGAAAATGAATTTGAAGAGCCAGCAGACGTAGCTTTTTCTTATTTTGAGGTATACAGTTTCACTTCTCGTATGAGGGTTGAAGGATCATTCTCCTTAGGACACGTTCTGGGTTTAATTTGTGCCATACATACACGGTAGATCAAAACAGCATATATCAACATTTATACGTTGAGTTCGGTTCATTCATTGAGCTATGGACTGGTGTGTCGAGGTTCCCACCAGCTTTGAAACCTACATTGACCCTGGAGAACCGTACAGCCTGCTTCGGACTGAGTAAGGCCATAGATATAGTCCGAGCAGGTTGTGGTAACATCAAGCAAGCCACAGAGGGGTACTGCATGAACCATGTTACAATTCGGACCACCATCAGCTGGGAGTATCCTACTCACCAACATCACTGCCCGATATTAGGGTGGTGCTGGCGCTGCGCTCACCCTAGCCATTATTCCTCTTACCCAGCCATCATCGCGACAGTGTGATTTGTATTCGTTGTCTATGTACAAGCTCTGTGGAGCGGTACCTGCTCGCATGATTAGTCTGTTATGTCTATGCTTACTGTCCTGGAGCTAACAAACAGAGCTTATGCATGAATTGTCAGACCTGCCCAATTCATCCCAAACTCAATCCATAATCTAACAAGCAGGGGTCTCTTACCTCTCCTATACTCTACCCAACCCTCATACACGCCCTTACACTACAGTTCATCATCACTCAAGTCCCAATCCTACCTCAGCCTCCCAGATACAACACAATGACTCCACTCCTCCTCCCAACAGCCCTCATCTCCGCTATCCTCGGCATCACCGCCCATCTAACCTTCTTCATCCACGCCGACCTCGAAAAACACGTCGTCTTCCTTGCCAACTGCCTCATCTTCTGGCCTTTACTCAGTCAACTCGCCCTCTTCATCCTCGGATACAGAGAGATATCCCAATGGATCGGACTAACGATACTGACCTTCCACTCCTCGCTGTTAGCTTCTATAGCGATCTATCGATACTTCTTCCACGCGCTGGACGGGTTTCCAGGTCCAAAGTTAGCAAGGGTCACAGCGTTGTGGGATTTCAAAAATACAGTGCTGGATGCGAAATGGTATCTTAAAGTGAAGGAGTTGCATGGGGTGTATGGGGATGTTGTTCGGATTAGTATTTTTCCCGTCTACCCTTGTTTCTTGTGTGGAGTTTGTACAGTATCTGACGGATTAGATAGAACCTAGGGAGATCTCGATCAACGATCCATCTGCGATAAAAGACATTTACGGCGTGGGTACGACATGCGTCAAGGGACCATTCTACGATCTACATTATCCGCATCGATCGTTGCAGATGGCGAGGGATAAGGCGTTTCATTCGAAGAGAAGGAGGTTATGGGATCGGGGGTTTACGTCGAAGGGTATGGCTCACATACCTATTTTACGTATCTCGTGGCTGATATGACTAGCACTCGCGGGCTACGAACCATATCTCCTAGAGCACTGCAAAGATATAGTCCAGGTTATTGAATCGCGATCATCGCAAGCACAGGAGACCACAGCGCTAATTGATGGGTTTGCATGGGACTCGATGGGGATATTTGCGTTTGGGAAATCGTTCAACATGCTGCATGGGGAGCCGCCGAAGATGCTGCAGATGATGAGGAAAATGGGACGCGGAGCAAGTGCTTTGCTCAGCTCGATTTGGCTGGTTATATTTATGCGGGGGATGGTGGGTGTAAGGCGGTTTACGGATAGATGGTTGGAGTGGTGTGCGCAGTGTGTGGAGGAGAGGAGTAGGGTATTGTTGCATTTACTGTCTAGTATCAGTTGTGGATTGTTTAGGCTGATGTTGGTTCAGGTCGAAACTGATCGTCGGGATCTCTTCAGCTATTTGATCGAGGAGTCAAGCTCGAAGGGCGACCAGTCTATAGGTGGCGTTGATGGGGATCTTGTTCGCGATTCAGAGCTCGCTATTACGGCTGGCAGTGACACGGCTGCCAGTACCCTCAATGCTTTGTTCTATCTCCTGGCACGACATCCAGAGAAGCTACGTCGGCTGCAGGCGGAGATAGACTCTGCTGTGCCTGCTGGACAGGAGCTGTGTCATGCGGCATTGGTGAAGAAACCGTTCCTAGAGGGGTGTATAAATGAGAGTCTGCGTCTGTGTCCAGCTGTGTTGAGCGGATTGCAGCGCGAGACAGGACCAGAGGGTCTTCGAACGGCAGGAGTCTATATACCCCCAGGAATGATAGTGTCTGTGCCGACGTATACAGTTCAACGAGGTATAGTACTAACCTTATTTGTGAAGTTAGTAGCTGACATCGTTCACGTCTAGACCCGCGCAACTTCCCCCGTCCAGACGAGTTCATCCCAGAAAGATGGTCCACCCAGCCAGAGCTAGTCGTCCACAAAGATGCGCTCAACGCATTTTCAAGCGGCACCTACTCCTGCGCAGGAAAGGCATTCGCGATGATGGAGATGCGACTGCTTGTTTCCACAATCGTGAGGCAGTTCAACATTGAGTTTCCCCCAGGGGAAGGACAAGAACCGCTAGATACACTGGGAGGAACAGGTCCATTAGACTGTTTCACAACACATATTCCACAGTATCGTCTTCTCTTCACAAAGAGATAGATAGATAGATAGATAAACCCCAATACAGAACTGTGTTACTCCACACTGAATAGTAGGATGTCATGTCGTAACTAATGATGGTAGGCATCTACCGTTACTGTTTCACTCCATTCACAGGCCGCATCCGGCCAGGCAGGAAACACGGTTCAAGGCAGGGGTTTCAACCAAGGAAACTCAAACTTATAGCAGCTCGAATTCCGTCTGACTTCCAACTTGCTTTATCCCTGCTACTAGACTACTACTACTACCCCTTTCATGGGAGGTATCATGATATCTATCCTTTTTACTTCCGTCTCACTTTGATCATGGCCTCCGAAGAGGAACAGCGCACAGGCCAACGGCCCAGCATCAGCATGTACGATCCCGCCCGAGACCGCTGGGAGGAGCAGCCTGTGGTTGCTGCTGAACCAGCGCCAGTGTCTGCTTCCATCGAAGCAACACCATCTCAGACGGATGAAGCGAAACCGGTGAGTTAAACTTTCCTATATGTATCAAGTCGAGGGTTCTCTGCAGTGGAGGGAATAAGTGGAGCGTTCATCCACTGCGAACTAAAGTGGCGCTTACGCTCGGCGGAGGCGGTGATTACTTATTCTTCCCGCAAATAAAAGACTCCGGAAAGAAAATGCTCCTGCGCGTCTGATTGTCTCGCGACATTCTTTTTTCAGTGTTCCATCTTCTTTCCATTGCAGGATATCTGACGCTGATTGTGGATGTTCATTGGGTTTTTTTCATATAGGTTCATGATCCTACTGTGACTTCTACGAGTGAACCTCTTCCTCTTCCCCTAACCACCACCACCGAGTCTTCTCAACAACCGGAGCAACAGCAACAGCAACAGCAGCAGCAGCAGCAGCCACCTATCCCGACACCTCCTTCCTCCCAATCACGTCGCAAACACAAGATAAACAAAATGGGTGACTACTCTCGCTCTGGGTCTGCCGATGTCTACGCCGAGCAGAGCTCCCCTGCGGCCAATAGCCACAAGCGCAAGCTCGAGGACGAGACGTCGGAGCAGCAGCCACCCGCCGACCAAGCGAACGACCGTTTCATTTCAAAGCGTAAGCGACTCGAAGAACGACACCAGAAGCTCCGGAAACGCGGCCAGGCACCTCCCTCGGCTTACTCGCGCCGCGATGGCGACGAGACAGCAGCACGCGCAGCACCACAGCCCCGATCCCCCTCACCGCCCCTTCCTCCGCGGTCTCCGTCGCCCGAAGTGCAGGCGCGTCAGCGGAAACGACCCGGTGGCGGAGCGCGGCGAGGTCTCGTGGACCCGCAGACGCTGCGGCGGCGACAGGAGGAGCGGGAGCGCGCGCTGGAAGAAGATGCGATGCGCAACTCGCAGAGCCGAGGCGTGACGGATATCGTGAGACAGCATTACAATGCGGTTCCGCAGCGAGGACGGGAGTGGCGCAAGACGGAGAGTAAGATTAAGGGGCTACGCAGTTTTAATAATTGGGTGAAGAGTACTTTGATTCAGAAGTTCTCGCCGGATGAGGAGTTCGTGGCGCGGGCAATTGGGACGAAGGATTGGGCGGATGGAACTGGGCCACCGCCGATGGAGGAGAAACGGTTGCTGGTGATTGATTTGGGATGTGGTAAGGGTGGTGATCTGGGCAAGTGGCAGCTTGCGCCGCAGCCGGTGGATCTGTACGTGGGATTGGATCCGGCGGAGGTGTCGATTATACAGGCGCGCGAGCGGTATGCGGGGATGCGTTCGGGCAGGGGACCGCGTGGTGGTGGGCGGAGGGGAGGGCCGCCGTTGTTTCATGGCGAGTTCCGGTCGAAGGATTGCTTTGGGGAGTGGTTGGGGGATATTGATATTGTTCAGCAGGTGGGAGTGGATCCGAATGTTGGACCGGGAGGGTCGATGATGGCGTCGCGATGGGGTGGGGGTGGGTTCGATGTGGTGGCGTCTATGTTTGCCATTCATTATGCGTTTGAGAGTGAAGAGAAGGCCCGACAGATGCTGCGCAATGTCGCGGGGTGTTTGAAGAAGGGTGGCCGGTTCATCGGCGTGTGTCCTAACTCGGACATTATCAGTGCCCGTGTGGCCGAGTTCAATGCCAAGCGCAAGGACCGTGAAGCGGCGAAGCAGGATGCTGAGCCGGAAGATGGTGAGGTGGAGGAGGAGGCCAAGGCAGAATGGGGAAACTCGATCTATCGGGTGAAATTCCCTGGGGATACCCCGGAGGATGGCATCTTCAGGCCGCCGTTCGGATGGAAGTACAGCTACTTTATGGAGGAAGCGGTGGGCGAGATCCCAGAGTATGTGGTGCCGTGGGAGGCGTTTCGAGCGTGAGTCCATCCCATGACCGCGAACCATGAATTACGGTACTAATAAAGCAGGTTGACGGAGGAGTACAATCTGGAGCTGCAGTACCGCAAGCCGTTCATGGAGGTGTGGCGGGATGAGAAGGACGATCCGGAGCTGGGGCCGTTGAGCGAGCGGATGGGCGTGAGAGATCGCACGACGGGCGAGTTGACTATGACGCCGGAGGAGCAGGAGGCAGTCAGTGAGTATTCCTTTACTGCAGCTGGAGAGGGTGTACGCTAACAGGACAGGTTTCTACCATGCATTTTGCTTCTACAAGGTGTGATGGATACATAGTATTAGAATGAGGGTAAATAGATGTAATGGACATGAAATTGTATTTACTTCAAGACAACTATCATATAATTACGGAGTACTCCATACTCCATCCTATAGATAAAAATGTAGTTGCAATGATATCGATAAGATAAAGAACCCTTCCCAAAACAGCCTAGCGCCACGCATCGCATCGCGTCGCGTCTTTCAACTTATCTTTATCCATCAGCCAATCTTTAGTTAGCATCAAAGAAACATACAACAAAGAAACCTACACCATATACCATATACCATATACCATATGCCCCCTCTTCCACCCTTTTCACCTATACCAACTACCAACACCCACACCCACTTGAACTACACTCACTACATCCCTCACTGCCACTCAGAGAAAGGATAAGACATCAAAAATGCCCAAACGCTCCCGCCCACCAGCACCAGCACCAGCACCAGCACCCACCAGCACTCCCCGAAGAAGAGACCGAGAATCCACCCCCCCTCTGCCCCCCTACGAACCCCCAACCAGCACCCTGACGACCCTATCGCACCAACCCACCACCGCACCCGCCCTCTCCGCCCTCCTCGCAACACACACCTCCTCCACCCTGAAAACGCATCTCCAGCACGCCCAGGAGAAACTCACCGATGCGGCGGGGGAGATTAACGAGCGGTTAACGGATGCGAAGGAACGGAGTAAGAAGGCCAAAGAACGGAAAAGAAACTTGCGCTCTCATACCTCCGGAAAAAATAATAACGGAGAGGGGGGAGAAGAAGAAGAAGAAGAAGGGAATGAAAGTGGGGATGATGATGATGATGATGATGATGATGATGATGATGACAATGGAATTGAAGAGTTTGAAGAGAGAGTGAAGGCGACGACGAAGATCCTGGAGGAGACTATCCGAGGGGTTATTGATAAGGAGGTTAGGGGAGAAGAGGTGGGGAGGGTGATTGCGGGGTTGGAGGGGGGTGTTGTTGAACGGATGAGGGTTAGGGGGGTGAGGAGGAGGAGTCAGAGGGGGGTGCAGTTGAGGAGGAGGAGGAGGAGGAGGTTGAGGGGTGATGGTGGTGGTGGTGATGAGGAGGATGGTAGTGAGGAGGAGGAAGAAGAGGATGGGGAAGAGGAGGGTGGGGATGTAGATGAGGATGAAGAGGGCGCGGTACCGTTCCTGGCGCAGTTTGAGGAGGAATTACAGGGCAAGATGGAGGAGTATAATGGGTTGAGTTTGACGAGACGGTACATACATACCCTCCCTCCCCCATCTCCATGCTACCTTATGTTTGCAGAGTTACTAACACAGATTGTGGCAGCTACACAACCAACAACTCCTACATCGGCTTTTACAAAATCATCCACGAAGCGAAACACATCGGCGACGAGATCCCTCCTCCACCTCACCCATCAACATGGTTCTCTCATCTCGAAGATCCCCATTCACAACCTCCATCCCACCACCCATCTACCTCCACCACTACCACCACCACATCTACATCCACCAGACAAACCAAAACCACCACCACCACCACCCGCTCTCACCCCGCCGCCCCTCCCCCTCCCCCTCTGCTTCCGAAGACGACGAAATCGCCATCCAAACCGAACGCATCTCCCTTAAATGTCCACTGACGCTCCTCCCCTTCCGCGACCCAGTCAGCAGCACGAAATGCCCACACAGTTTCGAGCGCGAGGCGATATTCACCATGATTAGCGGGAGTAATCAGATGGTGCCTGATCCGCGGGGATCATCTGGATCTGCAGGAGGAGGAGGTGGGAGAGCGAGGAAGCGCGTGCGCAGCGTCAAGTGTCCCGTGTGTGAGGTGCAGTTGACGGAGTTTGATCTGCGGAGTGATCCTGTGTTGGTGAGACGGGTGAAGAGGGCGGAGATGGCGGAGTTGAGGGAGAGGGAGAGGGAGATGTTGGGGGAGAGTCAGGATCATGATGGTGATCAGGAGGTGGGTGGTGGTGGTGGGGGGAAGAGGAAGAGGAGTGGGAGGAGGGGGAGTGCGGTTGAGGTTGATGATGGGGATGATGATGATGATGATAACAGTGGTGAGGATGATAATGATGATGGGGAGGAGAGGATCAGAGTTAAGAGGGAGAGGGGGATGTCTGTTGCTGCTGCTGCTGCTAGGATTAAGCAGGAGAGGGCGGGGTCGATGGTCGGTATTGAGGAAGTTGATTTGGATGGAGAGGAAGAAGGGGAAGGGTATGATTCTATGTATGATGAGTGATTTACTTACAGTTACCTGAGTACTGCCATCAGAGTAGACTTTTATTGCCTATCTCTATTTAGATCACTAGGTAGCTGCAAAACACGGGTATAATAAATACAAACAGCCATTGAAACAACATCAACCATCCATCGAAACACCATCCTCCATCCACAATCATTAAGGCGTTTCGATCTTCTCCTGCATCTGTTCCAGACAGTGCAACCAGATCCGCACCTGTGCAATAATCATCATTGCAAACGACAGAAACCGCGGCACGTTGTAATCAAATCAAGTCAAGTCAAGTAGTTGAGGCAAGCAGCTGCTGCACCCTACTTGGTAATCAAGTTCAGATAATCGGCCACGATAAGCGTCACCATCCTGTGGGTCTGGGGTTAGCCAACGGCACTACTAAGGTACTAGTAACAGCAAAAGGTGGAGACACTAACGCATGAGGAGCGATCCGCACATAGTACGTTCCGAAACCGCGGTAGAACCGCAACCAGCCCTCCTCCTGGACGACCTTGCGCGCGCAATCCAAGACGCCCTTGTAAGGGAGCTGACCGGTCTTGGGATCCTTCTGCTGCTTCTGCAGACGAGTCTTGACAAAGTCGAAAGGCAGGGAGAGGAAACTGGCGAAGAATCCGGCAATAGCGGACGCGGCAAAGGTCTGGTTCTGAGTCGACAGGCTAGTATGCTTCTTCAGCTGGGCCTTGGACTCGGCAAAGAAGGTCAACTGGCCGACGTTGAGTGCCATAGCACGGATAACGGTGGGGAAAGCCCCCGCCCACAGAGCCGGGACACCTTCGTGCTTGGAGATGCGGAAGAGCGCGTCCATGACGGAGCGGTAGTTGGCCCGCGCCTCAGGAGGCTTGAGACCGTCGGACTGCATCCGCACCAGCGCCAGATCGGCCGGGTTGCCAATCATGGCGGCAATACCTCCGGCAGCGAGACCGGCTCCGGCACGTTCGGCGAAGGTGACGCTGCGGTTGGCGGCTTCGGCACGCTTGTTGAGAGTCTTGCTGAAGGTGTCGAAGAATCCCAGGCGGGCGGTGGTGTAGACGGCCTGGCGTAGCAGTCCAGCCGACAGACCGGTGTACAGATCGAGGGCCTTGCCTGAGGCAATGATGTCGCGGGCCACGCCAAAGGCAGACGGGCGAGGACCGGTGCGCACACCTTCACCAGCGAGCTGCAAACGGACTTTGATCATGTCGATAGGCTGGATCACGACCGTGGCGGTCATGCCAGCGAGGCCACCGTTCACGAAGGGAAGAGCAGCGCGGGTGTAAGGGTGATGGAGGAAATCCATGGCGGGCTGGGGCTCTTTGGCCGCGGTAGGGGAGGCCATGTTGACGAGGAAGCAGGATTCACACCAGATCTAGAGAGGTGAACGAGGGTTAATACGGAGAACTTTTGATGAGGAGTGAGGGCGGATGAGACGCGCCGAACGAAGGATTTAAGAGGAGGAACACAGATGAACGAAGGATGAAACACGAATCAACAGATAACACGATACGCGGTGGGGGCAGGGAGAAAAGACCATCTAGCCATAAGGATACGAAGTGCCTGGCGGAGCAAAGAAAAGACAGATTTTCTTTGCCAGGCACTCAGCATGACCGACCGTGACGTGAAAAGGGCGGGAGGGGAGATTCAACGTACCGTGGAAGCACAGCTGGGCAAATGAGGGGAACCCGGTCGAAGTCACGAAAAGGCCCGACGAGAATGAGTAGGAAGTGGTGAACCGGTTTTTGAGGAGGAGTAGAACAAGTTAGAACAGTCAGATGATGGGGAAAGGAAGAAGTGAGGAGGCGAGAGAGAGTGAGAGAGAGAGAGTGTGTGTGTGTGTGTGCAGTGAATGGATTTAATCTTGTTGCAAGGTTGTACAACTGGAAGCAAGCAAGCAAGCAAGTATCCTGGGTGGGTTGATTCTAATACTTATAATAACTTGATGCATGAGTCAAGGTAGCATTGACGGGGATTCGATGATGTATTTGTATGCCATTGATTCTATCCGAGAAGCCGACCAGGGAATCCAGCAGTAAGTAGTAATTACTTGACTGACACTTCGAATAATCTTCTCCAGACTGGGCAACTGTTTCCATCCCCACTTTGTTAGCCGATGCCAAACTTAAGGCCCGAGCGATCGTTGGGGATTTAGTAGTATATTATTCAGTAGTAAGTATTGGGAGAGTATTTAGTTGCTGCACGATGCCGCCAGCTGGAAAATGCGGGGTTGCCACGTCTGGTGATATTCCATTCATATGTTTTGTGTCTATGATGAAGTTGTTCATTTTGTCTCTACTGATAGATAACTGTCTCTCTCTTCTCATAACAGTACGATTTATTTCCAAATATGCCGCGTATTGCAAATATTCAACAAAAAAGAAATAGATACAAAACAGCAAGCTAATACCAAAACGTCATGGCGGGGAATATTCATCCATCATACGTACATAAAGTAATTACCGTAATCTCCCCACAACCCCCACTAAACCAAATCGGGACTAACCACGAGAACGGTCCGGTTTGCGCTGCTTCTTGCCGCCTTCCCGAGGTTATCTCCTATCTCCTCTTTCCCCAGTTTGCCAAGTGGGTTAGTAATGTCGGTAGTAATAATGCAGCATGAATAATATTGTTATTATTTTTTTCTCCCAAAGCTTGGTTCTCGTCGATCAGTCTAACGTAGGTACTGTCTGTCACTTCGGAGATATCTGGTCGTATAACATATTCTTTTTCTCGACTTCACCAAACACTAGAATACTCATTAGCTACCGTTCAGAATACTAGTAGAGAAACAGCAATAGAAACATGGTACCACTCACAACATCACTTACAACAACAATAATGCACCCCCCGGAATAATCATATTCAGATCTCCTACTATATGCTGGATTATCTCCTTTCTCCCGATTCCTCCGACTTTCGGATCTTCCCCTGTGCTGCCTGCCACAGTCAGCCGGAGAAGATCTCCTCCGTCCTCACTTCAGTGACAATGTGATGACTACACAACTACGATCAAATCACAGGGTCCCAGTCAAGTAGCCGGCAATGTGGATGACTCGGTCGGAAGGGTTTGTTGGCTGTATGCCGGAGCACTGATCTCCTAGCCCACTGCCTCCAGGAGTCAACAAGTTGTTGGGAATCTACATTTACCTGCAACAAACAGACCCATCAAACCTAGCTAGTTAGTAGTAATACACGTCGTATCGGAATTACAATTCAAAAAAAAAAAAAGGGTCCTCCCTATCCCCAACTATCCCAATAAAACACAGCTTTCTCCATACTGCATCTTCGATAGTGGATGAAATGGGGCGACGGATACCTTCGCGGCAACCACTCCCCCCTGGCGGCAGCACATCTCGGGATCCCGGAGCGGGTGAGGCGGGTATCGGTAGTCGCGCGCGGTGAGATTCACTTCTATCCCTCGGGTACTCTCCCGGGACAGGACCCAGCAAGGAGTAATCATCAGCCTGCTGACTGGCTGGTTACCCTGTCAGGAGGTCCAGGCCCCCAGGCGGATTAGCTACTGGGGCTTAGACTACGATCCTGTCTGTGGGGACTACCTGCCACAAGCGAGCTGCAAAGAAAACAGCCGATTCTCGCTGGAATGCCCATCTCATATCGGAGTATTGTCCCTTGCAGGCTATCATCTCTTCATCTGGCGGCCTATATTGCTCCTTGTATCCGGCGGAATAGCCGACTCGGTTTATCTTCTGCGTCGTTCTTGCTGATGATCTGCTCGTAACGTTGGAATTTCTGCGCGTTCGTTCGCCCAATGCCTGCCCCGCGTGCCCTGCCCTCATCATTGCGGCGGTCGTGGCTGGCCGTCGCATGTCGTAGCTCTCCACATGATACTTGCCAACGTCATCTGGAGCTCCAACTGCGCTAGATGTCGCCCGATGCACGCACGCGTGCCTTGCGAGAATGGCACGTACGCCGCCGAGTTAACGCCGAGATTGATGTGTCTTTGACTCTGCTTTGGGCAGCCATCGTTCTGGGGGGTACGTATTTGGCGAGGGCAATCCAGCAGGCTGTGGATACTATAAATGCCTGTGCCGACGCTGCACCCGGCTGGGATCACACAGCCGTCCACTATGATTTTGTTGTCTTCCTCGACCCGACGGTACGGGCATGCTGCCACGGCTGGTGAGATGCGTAGCTTCGCCTTGTTGCAGGTTTGAATGTACGTACATTGCTGCATCAATGGGCTGCTGCGGATATCGCTGCCATGGGAGATGCGTTCCGTATTTCGTACGCCAGTTTCTCGTATGCATGAGGTAGTTGCGAGGTAGAAGACTCGCGCATAGGCTGACGGAAGTGGAATCCGAATCTGAGTGTGGCATCTACCGAAACAGGAGACCGAACAGCAACGGCGGGCCTTGGTCAACCGACTGAAGACGCATATGGACATACTCGCCGCGTCTGCCATCATACTATTGCCCAGGCGATGATAGCGCAAGATATAGTACAGCGTACAGCGCACATTGGGACTGCTGGCTGCAGAGCAAATTGCAAGCCTGCGGAATCCAAGATCGATGATTACGCCGAACGCGAAGTAGCTGCACCAGTCTGACATGATCATGGGCGGTTCCCTGCCATCCGCATCTGTCTGCGCGAGATACAGGGTGTCGCGGAACCTATGAACATCCGGCAGAAGCTTCGGTTCGAACACCCGCATGGCGGTGTTGGGAAATCAGGTCCGATAATGTTACTCAAGTTAGCATGTTCGTTTGAGTCTGTAACAGTCAGAAGATTCTTCGAGGGTCATTCCATAGTGGACATCCTTCCACAAGTCTTTTCCTCGGACGTAGATATCAAACATCTGTCAATAATGTCTCAATTGTATGACTGACAACCAACAAACTCTTCGATTCACTTTCCCGGTTGGGATTGCTGGATTCCTTCATGAAGGAGGTTGGACACTAAAAAGTGGAGGAGAAACTTTCAATCGTCCGAGTAGTCCTATGAAGACCCATCGTGAAGATGTAAGAGCATTAGCTTGCTTTGAGGTTCTGATGTTTGCATTACCCCCTTGTTTGAATCGGAGAATCAGGAGTGAAAATATAGTTCTGATGGCACGGCACGTAGCATGTAATAAGTTCAAGAAAAGCAACTTAAGTGTAGGCCAGTCATTGCAAAGTTTCTCCTCGGAGAGTGAAGTACGTCGGTTGATGCAAGCCTACAGAGCCCATTCGTGTCAGCGTGCAGCTTGCAATTAAATTTGCATGTTTAAGATTAAGGTGGAATGAGGGTGGCTGAAAAAGGCCTTTATGTGAAACTTGTTAGACTTGCTGGCTACAAGCAGTTGTAGATGGCATACGGATGGAGAGCAGAGTTGCAGAGAAGAAGGGACAAGTCGGAGACGCTAAATGGCGATCACAAGTGGAGTCAAGAGATCGACCCCTGTTCATCCCCGTGACCCGCTGTGGATTCAAGGCTTGCTACGGTGATTCTCTTACAATTCATTTTACGTGGTAGATAATTGAAGGTATATTTTGAATTCAATTTCTAATTGTTACCGCGACTTCTAAAGAAGCCAAAACCCAAAAGGAAATGCCAATGGTATTTTCCCCGCCGGCCGGGGTAGGCCACACATGGTAGTGGAAGATTCAAATGACCCATGATTGGAAACGCAGCACGCCATGCAAGATATCAAAAGCAGATAAAAGGAAATGGAAAAACAGAATGGAAAACAATTTACTGAGGCACCGGACCGGCCGCAATGACCTCGCGCGTCGCTTGGTCAGCGTACTTGCCGAAGTTGTCGTTGAACAGCTTGGCAAGCTTGTTGACCTCGTCGGAGAAGTTCGTCGAGGCGGTCCAGCTGTTCTTGGGGTTGAGGAGCTCGGAAGGAACACCGGGGCAGCTCTTGGGAACGTGCAGGTTGAACACATCATAGGTCTCGTACTCAACCTGGTTGAGGGAGCCGTTGTGGATGGCGTCCAGGATGGCACGGGTGTACTTGAGAGGGCAACGCTTACCACCGGTGGTAGCGCCAGCACCAACCCAACCGGTGTTGAGCAGCCAGGCGTTGGCCTTGTGCTGCGAGATCTTGTCCGCCAGCATGCGGGCGTAGCGCATGGGGTGCAGGGCCAGGAAGGGCTGGGCGAAGCAGGAAGAGAAGGTAGCCTGGGGCTCGGTGACGCCGTCCTCAGTACCAGCCATCTTGGAGGTGTAACCCGAGATGAAGTGGAACATGGTCTGCTCGGTGGTGAGCTTGGAGATCGGGGGAAGGACACCACGGGCATCGCAGGTGAGGAGGATGATGTTCGAGGGGTGCTTGTCGGACAAGCAGGGGATCTTGGCGTTCTCAATGTACTCAATGGGGTAGGCACAGCGGGTGTTCTCAGTAAGGGTAGAGTCGTCGTAGTTAACAACACGGGAGATGGGGTCGAAGACAACGTTCTCGAGGACGGATCCGAAGCGGATGGCGTTGAAAATATCGGGCTCCTTCTCGGCAGAGAGACCAATGCACTTGGCGTAGCAGCCACCCTCGATGTTGAAGACACCACGGTCGGTCCAGCAGTGCTCGTCGTCACCGATCAGGGCACGGTTGGGGTCGGCAGACAGAGTGGTCTTGCCAGTACCGGAAAGACCGAAGAAGACAGTAACGTCGCCATCCTTGCCCTCGTTGGCCGAAGAGTGGAGGGTCAGGACGTTGTGCTTGACGGGCATCTCATAGAAGAGGACGGTGAAGACACCCTTCTTCATCTCACCAGCATACTCGGTACCCAGGATAACCATCTCCTTCTCGGCGAAGTTGATGGCAACGGAGGTGGCGGAGGTCATACCCTCAGTGAAGCGGTTGGCGGGGAAAGAACCAGCGTTGTAGATAACGTAGTCGGGGTGGAAGTGCTTCAGCTCCTCCTGGGAGGGGCGGATAAGCATGTTGCGCATGAAGAGAGCATGGTAGGCACGGGCGCAGACGACACGGACGCTGATGCGGTATCTCTCGTCCCATCCGGCAAAACCATCGATAACGTAGATGCGGTTACGGGTGTTGAGGTAGTCGACAGCACGCTCACGGTTGATGCGCCAGACCTGCAAATCGGGATGCCGTTAGCAACAGTCCGGATCACGGATGACGTCATCTGGAGAACCCCGACCAGGCGCAACCTGGTGAAACAAGCATTCTCAGGAACACAACCGGACAAAACCCAAACTTTTGTGTCGCACAGCAGTCGCAAGATCAAAAATGCCTCAAAAAGTCTATAATGAGGCATTTCTTTCCTCCCGTTGCGCTGCCAGAAAAGCTTGGGTTCATGCCAGCTGCGGGTCCATGCAAGGGATGATCCTCATGCGCGATATATTGCACTTGCAGAAGAACCATGAATAAGAAAACAACGGAAAGCACGTACATCAGGAGTCATGGGCTTGTTGACAGGTCCCCACCAGACATCGTTCTCGGAGGTCTCCTCCTTGACGATACGCTTGTCAGAGGGAGAGCGACCAGTCTTAGCACCAGAGTAGGCAGTCAGGGCACCGCTGGAGGTGATAGCGGTACCAGTCTCGTAGACCAGAGCATCTTCGTAGAGAGCAGGGACAGCAGGGTTGGCAATCTATCTTGGTTAGCAAGGCTCGAGAAACATTTGCGACAGCTGAGCTTACAATAGCAACGCGGTCATAGTCAATGTGGGCGTGTTCGTGAAGCTCTTCCTCGAGCTCAGTGTGACCCTTACCCGGCCTGGAATGTCATGTTAGCATCGGTCTATACCAGACAAGGTCATGGCATGATATGCGACGCATTGCGCGAGTGGTTGAGGATAACCCCGAGCAATGCGACAACATATCAAGAAAGGAACGGGTAGGTAGAAAGGAAAGGACAAGACATACTGAACACCACCAGGGTGCAGAGCAGTGCGATTCACCGAAGCAGCAACCATGTTTCTTAGTGAGGTAGAATGATAGTTATTATTTCTTTGTTTTGCGAGTTGCTGTTGGAAGAAATCTGAAGCAAGAGGACCAGGTTCAGCGGGGGAAACGGGGGGTATATGAATGTTTGTCGCAGGACTCATGATGGGAGATCCAAGACGCCTAAACGTGTGGAATCGCAGCTGGGAATGTTTACTCCACCGTTCCACGGAAGATGTCGGGGCAGCAGACCGCGTCTCGACGGCGATGGTTATCGTGAAGAGTGGAAAAGGAAGACAAATGCCTCGAATCGAAGCCCGAAAAGTTCCGAACCCCAGATGTGGGCACGAGGTGGTCCCGGAAGGGATGACGGATGCACCAACTAGAGTTGAGCAAATAACACAAGCTTCGGAAACAGGATCAGAGATTTGAGGCGGTATCACGGATAGCGCGTCAGGGGATGATGAATTAATGTCTCATCAACGGCACTAGTGGGAGTTGGTACGCAGGTTTGGAGTGGTTTGGAGTACAGGGATAGACGCTTAAGCTACTAGTGATGCAGAGTGGGAATTCGTGGCCCCGGCGCTACGGGAACGAGGTATTTATTATTATGTGATTGTCTTGGAGCCTGCCGCGCGCAGCCACCACCGGATCATCGAGTGAATGGATGCTGCAAAGCGTTCATTCAATTACAATTTACTCAGTTCCAAGGACAAAAGGACCGTCTACTCTTTCTGGCTGGCCGAACAAATAACAATGGACGTAGGGAAACGGGTAGATGGGACGAGTTGGAGTGGTGACGTTGAATGAGCTCAATGCAAGAAGACGGAGTCTAGAGGCGATAACTAAAAACTCCCATAGCTAGACTAGGAAAATTGCGGGGGGGAAAAAGGAGTTTTCTTCTTTTTTTTTCTTTTTCGGCTAGGAGGGCTAGACTATACCCGACCAGGCGACTCGTGTGTAATGCATTTCCAGGACTGGCTGAGAACTGACCCATAATGGAGACAGAGTTAGGACTGCATTCAAGTCTGGGCCCGACCAGAAAAGCAGAAGCAGCGATTGCGAATGGAATTTTTCCGAGTGACGAAATGCCGGGGGAGAATCTCGGGTTCCCCTCGTCCGCACTTTCCCGCTTCCGGTATCATCTTAGTCATCCTCTTCCCGAAACGTTCCTGCCAGCCACCAATCAACATCGGCATGTGCGACCGATGGACAATCCAACGTCACTCTCATGGGCAGAAGATATTGCCGTCTTTTCGGGCTCGAGCATTATTTTCGGGTGAACTGTAAATTGAGGCAAATGAGAGCTATCAGCTGGATCCGAGTCACATTTCTGGGATTCCATGTCATACCGATGCGGGCTTTTGCCATCGTTAATCCGCTACGTGGACCCTTGAAGGATGCCCGTCCGTCTCCTTACTGCAGTAATATCCCTCATACATGAGTCTCAGTTCTTATCTACAGACGGTAGGTTTCAAATATGAGATGCATAGGAATCTGAAAATTCATTCTAATTTGCTCAGTAGTAGATAAGAAAATGGGCTACCGACATTGTAGCAACCACGATAATTGCACATGATAGATCAACTTGGCCCCTTTCCGAATTCCCAAGAATATCCGAGTTGCCGCCCCCGGCTTTGGTCAGGTGCCTGAAAGAACCCCCATTTTTGCCTCCCACGCGGACAATCAAAGGAATGGCGTATGACGACTTAGCCAAGAGCACCTAGCCCGGGATGTTATCACGGTAGATAGATGCGACGGAGAAATCGTGCCCTGGCATTGGAATCAGCCAAGATGTCATTGCGGTGTCTTTCCCTATTGAGCCACAGCAGCAATCTGTACCCCGCATCCGAGGAGTGCCGGGGCCACGCGGGCCTTTCCCCGGATGTTCTCGTCCCCTGGGGGTTGTCCGATTCCGGCTAGAGCGTAGTTAAACGCTTTTCCGGTTTGTGGATTCGGTAGTCTGATGGTTGGAGAGGGGTTTGTTCGAACTATTGATGGTGATGGGCAGTCTATACGAGTGTTTCTGAACATTGTAGCCTCCCATCGCAAAAAAGTCACCTGTCCTACTCTGTGCTTATGTGTTACCTATCATTGGGTTTTCGTGTCGGGTACGAACTGCAGTTCGGCTCCTCTAACGGGTTGTTAGCTTCCGTGCCTAATTAGATACATCTGCCTTCACCGACTTCTTTGCCACCATTTCATACATTCAGACCCTGCAATGCAGTTATCTGCAGTCTTTGTATCACTTGGGAGTAGATGCTTACAAGGTAGAATAGAAATAAGGCCACAATATTTCTAGTTCATCCAATAGATTGGGTATCAAGTTCATCTGTATCAGTACCACCGTGACATTATATATTTTCTCCTCCGCACTAGGTACCCTTGGTCGTAGATGCGACATTCAACCGCATACACTAGGGTACTTTTATTGCAGGCAGCAAAAACGTAATTTAGTCGGGTCTTCTAATAGTCAAAACAGAATTCCCATTTACAGCATAAAGTACAATTATCGAAAGCTAGCTCAACTAGTACGGTGGAGGAAGCGCAACCTGGCGACTGAAACAGTCTTCTCCAATTCCCTCCTGTGCACATGACATATTTCTATATTCGACATAGTGATATATATGGAAACAATCGTCGAGTCGAAGGATTCGGCTGGATTTAGTTAGAACTCCAGACCGAGCTAGTCTGCAAAGTAGCTCCAATCGTTCATCTAGACCGGCCACCATTATCATGTCTCTTCCTGATTAAGACATCTGCCTATATTATGTGCGCGTGATGGTTGTTTTTCTCTGTGCCAATCCATGTTATCTTGCTTCGGGTTTTCCTTACCAGTTCAGGCTAGTGTGGACACCTGCAGACCGCACTGACAGGTAGCTCCTGCGTGCATGCTGCATAGATTACGATAACCCGAGAACCTTTGCTGTCATTTTGATGAAAGACTGGTAACCTGCAGGAGCAAGTTGTGTCCGTTGGATATGTTGGACTGTTCAACATGCTGTCTGCGGTGTCTCTCGTCGTGGTTTCGACCACACACTCTTATCTCCAAAGGATATCTTTGACGAAACCACTTGAAATATGAGTCACTCTAACGAGTAACTTCTGCTGTGTCAAAGATGCCGACTGGCTACGATACCTCATAGTTTGCTATTCTGAAGAAGAAATCAAAATATTAGTCAAGTCCTTCGGCAAGACTCATACTAATATCTGCCAGAAAAAAAAAAAAAAAAAAAACAGAAGACAAATTGGAGGTGGCTCGGTGAAACACGGGATATCATTTGACAGAAGAGGCTCAAATTATATGGTGAATCCGGAAAAGGAAAATACTAATTCAGGAAGACCACAACCACCATCCAGACCTCCAGACTCGTCGGTATTGGAAACCGAATTCATGCAAGTCCAGTATGATTCACAACATAAGTCACTGTGTTGCATCTTTAGCTCTTGGCCTTCGCAGAATACCGTCCTCATAATCTGCATTTGGCAACCAGCTAGGCCAGACTGTGTGATGGCCATCAACAAGGTCGAGACAACCCGTCCAGATCTCGGTTCCTGGCTCAATAAACTGCCTCTTCTGCAAGCAAAAGATACATCTCGTCTAGCACCCTCTCAGAAGCAATTTGGAACACCATGTCCGTCACTAATTCTGAAACTTCGCGTCTCAACCTCGATTGCAACCGAGTCCGCGCCTATCATACCGTGTAAACGGCTGTCCGGCCTATGTATGAACCACAATGTTTATTCCACCTCGCTAATGGCTAACATTGTGTACCTTAGCTAGTGTCCGCAGCAAGGTAAGCAGTACTACATTCTGTTCGGCTTCACTTCAGCAACAAGTGACGAGATAGGCGCATATCACTACCAGGGATCAGCTAACCATAGCGCATTATGACAATCTCATCCAGAATTGCTTCTTTCGCGTCAGCGTTCATGTTTACCCCCAACAACAACAAAAGATCTTAGAATAGGGTCAATGAGAAGCTTCTGAGTGCCCGCACAACAAGACAATAAATCCACAGCATCATTGCATCCGACTGAACGGTCCACAGATCGCAGGCTTGAAACCAGTACTTCCGTCTTTCTATAAACCAATCTAAACTATCTCAACCCCAATGCAGCTATCATTTCACACTCCCTCACTACACTACCTTCGCCCTGGCAGTTCCCCAAGGCGCTAGGCCCGCAAAGCTGACCTGAGCGAGACCATTCCATGGCCTCCCGTGACGGCGACATGGGCATTCTCAGCAAGCATGAGAGTCTAGAATCTGGACGTGGACAATGACTGGGCTGACTGCGATGTCTCCTGGTAAGGGTATTTTCCTTACTTTCTGTCCCAAGCAACAACTCTAGCCCTGCACACTACTGTTAGGCTTATTTTCCTGACTTGACCCAATCTAACGCAGTACGCTGAAAGAAAAGGAACGCTCTCGACGTGGTGCCCAGCTTTCGGGTCTTATTGACAATACAACCTCAGATTCCTCAACGAACTTGGTAAGACATTGGCTTTGTTATTACTAAGTTTTTGATGATGAGTGTGGATGTCTGGAGCTGTGATATGGAGGTGGAGAAAGAGACCGAGTGAAATGGATCTGTTATGGACGGTACGTATTGTCTGGCATTGATGGTCAACATATTTTCTGTTCCACAACTCGACAGTAAACCCCTGGGGTTTCCACTGCCACTCCATTACTACTATACACTTCAAGGCAACCAAAGAGCACACCATATCCCATATAAACTCTTGATTATTGAACCAGGCAACATTCGTCGATCACCCACCACCCCACTCACATGCACAACACTCGAAAGAAAATCATCAACAATATCACCACTACATATCATCATCACGATACAATACCCAGTCCCACCATTTCACAAATATATTCCTAATGCACCCCCTCCAACCAAAACCCTCCCCATGACTTATCACCCACAAAAGCAATTCTTCACAAAATCAAAAACAAAAACAATCATCTGCGTCGTGCACACACTCGCTTCTTGTCTTATCAAACAACCCCAGTAGCCAATCACGTCCCGCCGATCCCGCATCAGGCGGGGCAAAGTACTACTAAGAAGAATATCACGCGCTCGCCGTGGCGGGGTTTCGCCAGCACAGCACAGCCAGAAATGCGTGAATCATCGCTGAGGGATTAGTCAAGAACTATCTATTTATCTATTTGTAGCTTCCCCTTTCTTCTCTTGCTTACCTTCTACGTACACTGTCAAGATCCTGCTTCCTAGCTTCATACACGTTTAGGTGAGTAGAAGGAAAAGACTTGGAAGTTATTTTCTGGTGATGATAAGCAGAATATTTATTGACTGACTGATGACTCATAGTTAACTTCATTTCCCTCCACGAGATAAACTCTACACATCCAAACTTCCAAAATGGCCGGTGCTCATCAAGCTTGCCCTTCCTGCGGCGCTGCCATCCCTGGCGAGACTAAGACTTGTGGATCTTGCGGAAAGGTACGTGGTTCTTTGTTCTTTCCTGCACGGTAAACGGGACTATTCGCTAATTACAATATTTTATAATAGACCTGCCCTGTTTAAACTACCTTCGGTTCGATCTGGAGATGATAAATGGCGTTTATGGGGTTGTGCTTGGAGATGTGATAAGTACTAGAATAAGGGACGGGGTGTGGCTGTATAACGCGTTGACGAGTGATGACGACGATGATGATGAATATAAGATGAGATGAGATGAAATGAATGAATAAACAAGTAAGAGATGATTGCTTCGTTCTTCGTAGAGGTACAAAATCACACCAGGTCTCTCATATCCACGGTTCTAATCGACCGACTGGACTGCGTTGAAAGTCGCTCTATACTCCGATCGGGACTCTCTTCTCTCGATCGAAGCATGGTTTCCGTGTCTTCTTTGTCTTCCTGTTCTTGGTCGCTTTCGCTCTCTGATGGCCGTGAGAACCGGTTGTTGAGGACCATCGAGTGGCGTTGGGGATTCATTGTGCTGTTATTAGGGAGAGGTTCGTTCTCCGAGAGAAGGACGACGGTGACTGGGTGATCGCAGATACGGGGTACTTTGAAGACGCTGTAGAGGGCGTTGAGAGCTGGTACTGACAGACCGTGGACTACGATGGAGAATAGAACTAGCCAGTAGACGACTGTATGACCATCAATTAAAGGTTATCTGCGGTTTCTGAGTGCAATGCATGCATACCTGGTACCATCGCGGCTGTCATGCTGTTGATTTCCTCGTCGCTTTGTCCCGGGAGAGGGAATAGCCGACGAGTGTACTCGACGTATGAGACTGCGCCGATTCCTATATATGTGTCTTAGCATAAGGTTCAGAGAAATGTATGCGACCTTACCAATTGGCCCAAAGTGCCCCAGGAACAGTGCCTCTTTCCAGTCGCTGCAGACCTTGGGCATGAAGCGATATCCCACCAGAATAGCTGGAATGCGACGGAACACGAGGATCAGGAATCCCAACACAAAGAGCCGCCAGAGTGTTATCCCCGTATCATGGGGACGTTGGAAATATTCCCACGGCATGGTCGCCCCCAGGAACATGAACGCTGCGAAATTCAGCAAGGTCTCCATCGTCGAGTTGAACGAATCATGTCGAGCTTGAATCTCTTCGTGATAAAGACCATTCCAGTTCAATACACACCCAGCGACGAAGCAGGCGAGTGTCTCGTCGGAGCCGAAACAACCACACGTGCCAACAAGGAGCAATCCAATTGCCGCTGGGATAAGGGTAAAGCTTTCATGATCAATCCACCTGTGCTTGACCGCTTTCTTCAGCAGCTTCTGGGACACGAACCCTATGAATGCACCGTAGGCTGCACCTACTAGGATCATGTACAAAACTCCTTCAATAGCCCAGTGTTTGAGCGCCACGCCTGCGCCGCCGCCGAAACGTCCGACTCCAGTTGTCCCGAGAACATCTGGGACTCCCCGTTCCAGGTCAAACTCTTCCAAGCTGAGGGTGTTGGCTGGGGCTTCGGCATATCGCAAGAACGAGACTCCGAGTAACAGGAGTGGAAACCCGAAGCCGTCATTGCCACCTGCTTCGGCGGAGATGAACTCTCGTAGTGGGCGGCGGACGAAGTTGTCAGCAAAAGGGCCTTTCGCAATCGCCTGAGACAGGACTGGATCTGTGCATGTTACGCAAGCGCTGATAATGAGTGCTGAGAGCTTTCGTCGGGTGATTAGACGTCTTCAGGGCTAGCACAGATGGAGGCAAGTGTAGACATACAAAGGAGATGTGCGGGATCACAAGCTTTACGCAGGCAGAAGTTGCGAGCCATGAGATGGTCATCAATGGTAATAGACAGATGATCATCTCCACCATGCGTTGCCTCAGGTATTTCTTGGGTAGTTCATATCCCACTTTGACTAACTGAACGCCAATGACGAGACGGGTCAAGCCCTGAAAGGTCAGCACTATCTCTTCCAGTGTTTACCCGGTAATCTTACATAGGCTATCTCGCTGGTCTCGTTGGCACTATCACCTCCCCATTGAGAAACGTTCAGTAACTTAGCACCAGCTGGCCCAAAGCAGATGCCAACAACGAAGGCAGGCACTGGGATAATTAGTATCGCGTCCTTTGATGAAGAATGTAGAATCTTACGGGCTTCACCAAGGTACCATCTTTGTTTGACCTTCAGGGAGACGAAGCCAAATAGGAGAATGTAAAGGCCTTGGTAGGGTATTAGCTCCCCACTTGAACCATATGAATCTGGATCTCTTCCCCTCACCTGTAACAGAAAGAACGAGATTGAGGTTGCTAACGTCCAGAAACGGATGTAACATCCCTGCTAACGCTAAACAGCTGTTGACTGGGTCCGGCTGGGGCAAACAAGCCTCACTCCCAAGTCGAGTTAAAGAAATCGCGCATGGATCCTAACAAAGATAGACACCGAGGACCATCAATCATTCAAAGTCAAAGTGTGGGAGACTGGCGTAAATGGGTTGGTTATTTGTGCCGGACAAAGATACCAGTCAGATTCTGCCCTGGCTAGGGTAGAAAGTCGGGGGAGGCCGCCTGTTCAAACAGCACGGCCAGACCATCAACGGACGCCTGGTCACCCCTTACTATACTGTACAAGAGCCTGGTGCTGTCACACCCTTCCGACAGGATGCATACATTGTGGGTCCTGATACGCCTCCCTTGCAGGAGGAATTGCAGCTTCGAAGCTTGGCTGCGAGGCGTAGATAGGAATGAACCAGGAATGAAGAGGCCAGGCCACATCCCGATGGGCGGAAGATAGATTTGCATGCCGGTCTGGGGTTAAGCTTCCGGTTCGTACGTAACTCTTGGAATGTGATAGACCGTGGGCAATGTAGTGTGTCAACATCTAGTCTATTAGCAAAGAAGTCTTATCAGTAAGTAAGTAACAAGGGATGGAAGGAAGCAAGATGTTGATAACAATAAGATTGCGGCAAGACAAAAATAGCATACCAAGGGTTGATGATGCAGGTGGCTCTGGATTTGTCTGCCAAATGGTAGAGTGGTACTGCATCCCCGTATGCAAGACAGCTCGATCAATGAAGATATGAGGAGAAAAAGAGGGCGATTGTTGGTCAGGCAAGGTTCAATTGGCGACATTTGACTGGTTTAAGAATTCCAGGCTCAATGGCCATAACCGCCCGCTGGCGTTGAAACAAAGGTCAGATTATGCACTGTGGTGGAGAGGAGTAGGTTGATTCAGAAACCGGCTGCTCTTGCTGCGAGTAGCCGCCAGCCTGAGTGCCTGAATGCGAGGGCTGCAAGGGGCCTCTTGCGAAACACGGCCAGTTGACATGTCCGATAGTGGCTCGGACCTGCAAGTGTAGCATGAAAGCGATGCATCAACTTCAGCCGTAAAATCGGGATAGACAGAGAGCCGAAAAAGAAATGGTTTAACGGGAGAGTAACAAGTGCAACAGAGGACAAATGATATTTGGCTAAAGCAAACAAAGGGAATAAGCTCTAAGTTACATGAATCCGTTGAATAAATGGCTGGGACCCGCCTCGCACATGAAAAGCTCAGTTAGTCCAACCCGTCAGTATTTGTCTCTCGCTGTGTCTGAGCACGCCGATATTCACTGGCGCGTCAGATTCTAGTATCAACAACCCGCGCAGACGGCGTTTGGTGATGGCCAGAAAGAACGATCTATAAGGCCTTGTTGATATCGATCTCCGCAATGCAGTCCAAGCAGCGACCGCTTACGCAGTCTTCCGCCACTGGGACCAGATTCCGATCAAACTGCTGACCGTTCCTGCAAGACCCACAATACCGTCATCGAGAGATGCCAGTCCAAGGGCGGACACTGGCACGCTCAGGTCGCAAAGATCGGAAATAAGCTGAATGCGTGCGGCAGAGCGCTCCCTGAAAGACGTTAGTACGCTTGTTCAGGGCGAGTGGAAAAACACAACATACTTCTCAAGCTTCTTAGCTTCCACGACACCTTCGCCTTCCTTGCGGTCGAGGGTCTTCTCCTTCTCCCGCAACCTGAACAAAGTGTATACACCCGCGACGGCACTGCAGACCAAGCCCGCCATCCATGAGCGGTAAGCGTGTTCCTGCAGTCGCTTGGCCGAAGCGAGCTTACGAACACCGATCGTATCGATAACGGTGATTGTGTCGAGAGAGAGGTAGCCCGCGTAGCCGAGCTGACGGCCGACGGCGAGATAACGGAGTACAGGGTCAACGGGGTTCTTGTTGTCGGAGGCCAGAGCAGCTGCCTTCAGATGCTCAACAAACTTGCCAATCCGCAGAATCTTCCGAGTTGTTCCGAACTGCTTCTTGACGGCATTGAAAGGCTCGATGGCGGACTGGGGGCGGTTGGTGCGGTAGAGGTACCAAGCAAAGAAGCGGGAGAAGTATTGCAAGGTTCGGAGGATTTTATCGCGACCGACTGTGGAAAGGTTAGTGATATTCTGCAATACGATCAATTTATCCTCCAAAAGCACGAGAGGCAGGTCCCCTGCATTGAGGCACCTTGCTCTCTCCCGGCCGAGAAACCAGCAGCGCAGGACAGATAGAATGTCGGCACGTACCCGTCGTTGCGACAAAGCGCAGGTAATGCGCCAGGGCAGGGTGGTAAACCAAAGCGTCTGCGACCATATTGATGATGGCTGGTGTAGATCTTGGGTTGATGGAAAGGGTTCAAGGTGTCGGTAACTTATTGAAAGGGTAGAAAAAGGCGGGAGTCGAATTCCGCGCGGTGTCGGGACGGCGTGGGGACTGTAAAGGAAGGCGAAGCTCTGGCTGGCTGGCAGACGGAGAGGAGAGGAGAGGTTCAAGGTGTGATACAGACGGAGATGAAAAGGATACTCCGCACCAAGGATGGAAGGAAGAAAAGATGGGGGAGGGGCGGAGAAAAGGATATTAGTAGTAGTAGGGGTCGACGGCTAGCTGCTGGATGATGGGATCGGTAAATGAGCGGCCGGCGATCGCCCGTCTGTTGGAGGTGAAAGACTTCGGAAGTTGGAACCTCGGCTGGTCGGACCATCCAAGCTGTCAATCACAAGATCCTCCCTAATCCACTCTCCCCGCCATGCGAACTACGGGTCCAGCTCGTCTTCAACAATCACTTTTTTTGCTTGGTCATTTTCTTTTATCTCGATTAAAAAATATAAAGCATAATAATAGTATTTCTATACATTACATCACTAACACATAGTCATCGAGTCATTAACCATACTCTCTTAACTTATGATCCCGAGCATCCTTTCCAGGGGCTCCGATCGGGCGAATTGTTTGTTACCAAAATTGCGCGTCTGGGCGTGTTCTCTTCCGGGGTCGCTTGGGCATCTTCACACCAACTTCGATCGTCGGTCATCGCGCATTCGCTGCTTGGGCTTTCTCAAAGGATGTTGCATGGGCCGTTCGTCTGTTGGAATGTCGCTTGGGGTAGGGGAAGGTTGGCGCTTGTTAGGCTGGGACGTTGACCGGGCAAGCGGTTCAGATGCGTTGTTTTAGCAGGTCCGTAAGGCGCGCAGGTTGCAGGGGGACATCGACTACCGCTCCTCTCGGTTGCCCATGGCAGAAGTGTCGTAACCATGAGACTCTAGATAGGCCCGGAATTTGGCATCCTCATATGTGATGGTATCCTGTAGGGACGATTAGCCTACTCTCACCTGGGTGGAACCAGCAAATATGGCATACCTGTCCGATGTTTGGCAGGAGGAAAAAGGCCAAAGCAGCACTAAAGATGCAGAGTGAACTGGAGACGAAGAAGGGGTCCTGACCGGACCGCACCTTGTTAGGCGCGTTGTCTTGAATAATCGGGATCACATAAGTCCCAACAAACGCGCCTATCTTTCCAGCTGCTGCAGCGATGGCGTAGAACTGGCCCCGTACAGCGGTTGCGCTGCTCTTGGCACAGCACAGTCCAATGTTGTCGCCAGGGCCAAACTCACCAAGACTCGAGAAAATGCTAGGTTTTAAGTTAGCAGATGAGATATTATCACGATACGATCCAGAGCCTACCCAAAAACCACGACGAATGCTGCGACATTCTTAGGCGTTGAGAGATACTCATAGCAGCCAGACATGATAAACCCAACAATGCCTTGCAGCAAGACACCGAGGGCCAGGGTATTGCGGGGCCCCAGCCAATCACTCGACAATGCTCCTAGAAAAGATCCGGGGATGTAGAAGGTATATGTCAGTGTAGTCCAACCGAAGCTCTGCCAGAGAGGAGCACTGTCTCCCAGAATAATAGCGATCCAGTCAGACGAGTAGATGCTGAAAGAATAAGAAGAAAAATCATAGAGGAACCAGATCAATGAGCATATAAACTGTTTATGGTTAGTAATACTTTGCGCATTGGCTAGGAAGAGTCACACAAACCAGACGCTTCCAATAGAACCTGTGAATGTGCGATTAGTCTTGAACGCAACAACTGATAACAGCCAGGCAGCTTACTTGATAATCAGCCAAAGAGGGAATTTGTGCATGCGTTCCCGGCTAAACTCCTCGGGCTCCTCCAACTTCAACCGGAGATAGATCAGACTAAGAGGTGGGATGACACCGAGTCCCAAACCAATACGCCAGACCGCACGCAAATGGTTTTCAGTGAAAATCAAAACCAATATCATTGAAACCAGGGCGGAGACAACATAGGCAAAGTCGATTTGGAAATTGGTAAACATCACGAACCATCTGTTGCGATGGCCTTGCTTGAGTTCACCAGTGTTCTCCGCGGCTGCAACAGACCCTGCAGGGTACTCGCCGCCAATTCCAATTCCCAGGAAGAAACGGTATGCAGTAAGGGCAGCAAACAGACCATAATGGCTGTTATGGTACCCATAGGAACCAGCACAAAGAGCGGCAAATAGGAAGAGGATTATCGTAGAGATCATTAGAGACCATTTTCTCGACCAGTGATCACTTGTGTATCCAAAGATAAGCATGCCGACCACAGTACCGGCGAAAGTAATAGAGGATACATTTTGGCTGGCGGGTGAGTTGGAGTACTCTTCAGGGTACAGTCTCTTCAAGATGGTATTTACAGGTCCAATGATCTGTAGACAAGCCATATTAGCAAAACCACCAACTGCCACACTAGTAATCCATGTCAAGTGAACGAACCCCATTGAGGTAGCCATCAGAGAATAGACCAGCGCCGCATGCAATTGTGGGCCAACTGCGCTCCCAACGGCTCTTGCCAACCGCAGTTTCCTCCAGAGGAACCGCGTCAAGAGAGGCGGGGGCTTTTTCGGGAGGAACATCGACCTTGGACTCAACGTCCGGTTTTGGCTCCATGCTGACTGCTTTTGCAGGTCAATTTAGGTTCGCAGCCTTGGATTGTCGCAAACGAAG